ATTTATATCGATTTTAAATACAGCAAATCGATCAATTCTTTTGATTTAAAACTTCAAGATGTAACGACTTTAAGCGATTACTTAAAAGAACTTACGAAAGCGCGAAGGTTTATATAAAAGCTTAAAAGAATCTTAAAGTAATGATTTAAAATTAATAATTACCGAGTGTAAAAGTCGAAAGTAATTAAAGTCTATATACACGAAAGTAAAAGCGTTAAAAATTCGTAAACTATAGTTCATAAGTTAAAAGCAAGGAATAAAAGAATACGAAGAATACGAAAGAAAAAATAAAAGAAGTAGCTTAGCGCATATAAAGTGCGTTTAAAAGACTTAGCGTATCGTTATACAAGAAACCGACGATTAATAAATATGATTAGTAAATATAATTAATAAATATAATTAGTAAATATAATTAATAAATATAATTAGTAAATATAATTAGTAAATATAATTAATAAATATAATTAATAAATATAATAAGTAAATATAATTAATAAGTATTATTAATAAATATAATTAATGAATAAGATAAATAAAAGTATTTTTATAAAATATAAAATTTATAATTAATCGTGAATTTTATTTTATATAAACTTAAGTATTAAGTTTAGGAATGATCTCAATTCCGTATCGCTATTTTTAACGCCGTAAAACAACTCCGGAGCTAGCTCGTCTTTTTTCCAAATCAATTGTATAACGCGTTAAAATAAAATAAAATCGCAATCAGCTTTTTTAAATTTAATATTCTTTTCGAATCCTTTTATATTTTATTAAGCGGCTAAACTCGGCAATTCGTATTTAATCTTATCGGTATTTGCTTTAATTTTAGCTCGCTAATACTTCTTTTCATTAAAGGAAAAGTAAACGTAAAAAAGCTTAATTAAATAAAGATTAAAAGTTATAATATTAGTTCAGTTGATTAAAAGCATAATAAAATGAATTCTTACTTAGTTCGTTTTAAAACCGTGCTTGCTAAGTCTTAAGCTATCAATTTAAAAAAAGCTTTTTTACTTTTTAAATTAGCAGCTCGGCACTTCTTTATTAAAAATCGCGCTACACTTTACTAATAACGACGAAATTGTTAAACGGTTATTATATAGCGTAACTTTATATTATTAGCAAAATATAAATATTTAAATGAAATAAATGCTTATTTATGCGTGTTAACGTGCTAATTGCTAAGTGACCTTTTTTATTTTTTTATCGGTAATCAAGACGTATCTATCGCGAAGTATATCATTATTTTCTTTTTTATCTTTTCGTAAATTAAATTTTTTATAAACCTTTTCGTTTAAATTGAATGCTTAATTAACTCAATCGCTATTTAAGTATTTTCTATTATTAAATCTAATTATAAAAGAAGCGGCTTGCATAGCAAGATTATCCGCGTAAATGCTTCGATTCTTTTTAAAATCGATTAGTAAATTGCTTAATAAATCAAAGAAAAGAAAAAGTACCGTTCATTTATAAGATTCTTTCGCATTTCGGCTTATCGAGTTTTCTTTTCAGCTTTTAATGCTTAAAAATATTTTAAGATTTGTTTTTAAATTGCAAAAAGCTGATTAGCGGCCGCTTGATCTCGTCTTTTAACTTTTCGAAGCTTATTTGCTTAAAGATCTTATTTTAGCTTTGCTATACGAGCATTAGCCCTTATCGTATAAAGATTAATTGATAATTAGCTTTTCTTTAGCTTTCTTTGTCGGTATATCCATATCGACCTTAGCTAGCTAGTAGTAGTAGTAGTAGTGGTTGGGGAAGCTCACCCGTGAACCATGGTTCACGGGCCACTTGGCATGCCTCGCTTAGCATGTTAGCAGTCAAGGGACCCCCAACTTGACAAGTAGACCTATTAGTTAGCTAGTGCACGTGATTCCTTTTAGTCTTATAGAAGGAATCAGCTCCCTTGAATCTAGAGGAGCAAACAGAATTCAGATACCTTATTAACCGAGTGTTTTGCAATTGCAAGTACTTTGACGACCGTTACGACTTTACGAATATATATTCCTAATCGCTTGGAAGCAATTCAACACTGATCAGTGATTGAATTACTATTAAGTGATCAATTACAAAGAAGCTAAGACTTTATAGCGAGGATACTTTTTATTACGATACCTCTTTCTTTTTACAACGGAAGAGCGATTCCGTACCAAGTCGCTTCTTATACTACCGACTTTCCTTATTTTTACGGAAGAGTGATTCCGAACCAAGTTACTTTTATATAACTTTCAAAGCTGTAAAGCCGCGCTTGCTATATATAATAAACTCAACCAATACGATCGATTTACGTACGAGTAGACAACTATTATAGCCGATCAAGCAATTAGACCTTTAAGTAGGGAGTCTAGCCGACAAAGAGCAGTAAGGTATTATATCCTTCGAGTCTTATTACCACCTACGGAACCTTTAGCTATTCAGCCAAAAGGACTACTATACCCAAGACTCTTAAGCCTCTCGGAAGGACCAGACGATGAGATATCGAGCATCTTATTTGACTTAAACGAGCTACTATACGCAAGGCTCGATAATAAGATTACGGCCCGAGCAATAGTAAAGGACTTCTTAAATGCGAAGTGTAGAGGGCTAAGGGATTACGACTTATAGAGCTTATTCCGGCACGCTTTCTTACGCTAAGATTGGACGAGTTTTACGATGACGAGGGATAATACGAGACGAAGCCTTAAGTTTGCTACTTTTATTAGCTTTAAGGAACACTTGCTGTCTAAAGGCGTGTAGTGCCCTCCAAAGCAAAGGGGCTACGCCAATAAGATGGTCAAGCTCTTAAACGACGAGCAGCAATACCAATAGACCTTTTAAGAAATAAAAGAGCAATAAGCAATACTTTTAGGCTTCGATTCAAAGTGGACCGCCGAAAACCTTACGGACGACGAAGATAATACGCTTCAACTACCTTTACCACCCTTACGAAGTCTAAAAAAGAAGGAAAAGGAAGAAAGGGAGGAGATTCGGAGGTTACGCGAGGAGTTTGCGAAGGAAAGGAAAGATATAGAGCAAAATATAGAAATAATAGCAAGGCAAATAGCAGAATTACGGACCTACGCTATACAATCCAACGAAGGGCTACGACGAAGCACTTCAGCGTACTCGTCCTCAATTCATCAATCTTATCAATCGCTACGCAATACGCCAATTATACAAGAAGAGCCAAAATCACCTCAGCAGCCCCAAAACCCCTTTGTCAAAAGCTACAGCCGAATTTTCGACAAGCCAGGACCGAGTAGCAATAAAAATAGTCCTGAGATTATCATCGGACCAGATAACACTCGAGGCCACGGGAGCTATACGCCAAAAGAGGACCCGCTAAAACCTAAGAGCATTCCGGACAAAATCAACTCTTACTAAGGACAGCGTGCAGATTTCCGTGCCCAGCCTTAATAACTCGAAAAGGGGATCTAGCACTTTCGGACGTACCGGCAAGCTACTTATATCTCTTAAGAGGCTACGTATCAACAAGAGAGAGACTAAGGGTATAAGAATCGCTAAGGGCAAGCTTAAGGATACGGATATCATTAAGCTAGAGCTTTAGCCGGTGACTCGAATAGCCTTAGAGATCTTGACGATGGCCGACGAAGAAGGAACGGGAGAGATTAGCAGGGAGATCGAGGCTACGGGTACGGAAAAGGTAGGAACGGCCCTTTTGAGCTACTAAGGGGATTCGGCAACGGACCTCCAAAGGACTTCGGATCCGGAAATGAGCCTTTTAAGGACCTTGGAAAGGTAAGACCCATAACCGGCAATTATATTAGTAACCTTTTACCGATCCGACCATTAGCTAAGCACGGCACGCCTGCGTACGGCACTCCAAGCGCCTTTGACGATGATGGAAACGATTTCCTTGAGCTAAGAGCAATAGACCCTTACTTAAGAGCGAAAGAATTGGCTTTGTTCGCGCGAAGCTTTCTTAAAGAGCTGAAGTACTTAAGACCCGACGATGACTTTAGAACTTAATTAAAGATTTTTGCTAACTAAGCAAGTCGATACGGTTTGACCTTCGACGATTATTTAGCGGCGTTTTTAATTATGCTTACGAAAGAGGCTATAACCTTCTATTACAATTATGTGATCAAGGCCAAGCTTCTTACGTTTAAAGCAAATGCTATTGCGGTAAAGGACCACTTCGAGACTGATTACCGGCGGCAAGCAAAATACGACTGCTAAAAGGAAATTTCGCTAGATTTAATTAAGAAAGAGAATCTAGGAACCTCGCTTAGCGAGTGCTTTGAAAAGCTCGCTAAGAAGCTCAAGGGCATTCAGAGCTCTTTACGATTAAGTTTAAAGGATAATCGAAGTTTTGCTAATAAGCTATATTCAGCTTGTAAAAACGTGCTAAAGATTACGATTGCACGAATGAATCTTGCTTTTATCTTTACCGCGGTAGTTGCTAATATTCGTCGAGCAATTGCTTTTACAACTGAGACCTCTCGACCTTTCGCTAAAGCGAGTAGAGCTTACGCGAGTTCTAGCGAGCTACACGATCATATCTGCTCTTAGCACGCTTTAGAAGCTGACTTCGATTTGGACGAGGAATACGAATGCTTTATTTAAGATCGCTAATACTTCGGAGGTAAGAAAGCTGTTAAGGCTATTATTAAGGGTGAGAAAAAGTGTTTTATTTGCAAAAAGCTAAGTTGCTAAAGCACTAACCATACTTTCGACGAGAGAAAGGCATCCGTCGCTAAGTTCTAAGCTTTTAAAGACGTAAAAAAGGTGACGAGAAGCAAATTCTTTTAATACGTAGCATCGATTAAAGGCTTGCTACTTATATTTACGGAAGAATTCGATTAGTTTATCGCAAGCTTATTAAACGAGCCGCTCGAATCGAGCAGCTACGCTAATATGTCGGAAGGTTTTGTGATTACCCACGGCACCTTTAACGCTGACGAAGTATATAAACAGCTGGAAATTCAAACGGCATTCCACGCCTTTACTAGCCAAATCGAGACCCAAAACGTGCTCGCGAGCAAAGCAGAGATCTACATAGCCTCCAAGTACTTTGAAAACGTGTTTATAAGACTTATGATTGATAGCGGAGCAGCTAATTTCTTTACCGCTAGCTTGCCCCAGCTACGAGCACTTTAAAAGAAGTACCCCGAGGTCTAATTAGATACATCTCGGGCAAGAGAGAAGTCCGTCAAGTACGGGATCGGCTTTGCCACCTTTATTAGAGCAGTTACCTTGGATACTCCTTTAAGTCAAGTAGAGTTTTACGTTGTAGAAAGCGACGTACTTTTTTTATTCTCGTTAACTGATATAGATAAGCATAAAGTGATCTTAGATAACTTGCGGAACGTGCTAGTCTAAGGGAAAAAGGAAATACTAATAATAAAGATGTTTAGATACGTATAGATGCTATTAAGTAAAGAGCACGCTGCTATTTATTATAGCACCGAAAGCGAGACCGTCTACTGCTACCTTACGGAAAAGCAATTAAAGACCATTTATAAGCGTTTTGGCCACTTTTTAGCAAGTCGATTTGCTGCTGTTCTTAAAAGGGCCGAGCACGAATTCAAACGGGATTTGCTTTATAATATCCAAAAGTTTTGCTATTACTGCTAAGTATTCGGACGCTCTTCAAAGAGGTTTAGTATTAGACTTAAAGATGATACTGATTTTAATAATATAGTATACGTCGATGTGATGTACTTTAACGGCAAGAACGTATTGCACGTCGTTTGCGATTTTATTAATTTTCAGGCCGCCACCTTTCTTAAAAGCATATCCGCATAGCATTTACTTAAAGGATTCAATCGATGCTAGGTTAATACTTACGTCGAGCCTTTTACAAACGTAGTGCACGATCCCGGAACCAATTTTAATTCGGCAACGTTCCGGAGCTACCTTAAGAGTATTAGCAGCACTTTAAAGCAGATGCTTGTAAAAGCTTATCATAGCGTCGGGCTAGTAGAACGCTATCACGTCCTTGTACGACGCGCTTTTAAGATCGTCATAAAGGAGCTTTCAAAGGCCTTAAGGAAGGACCGGCTTTAAATGGCTATTAAAGCTATTAACGACATAGCTGGACTTAATAGCCTGGTTTTTATACTCTTCGTTTTTAAGACCTTACTAAAGCTGACGGAATAAGATCGACTTGCCGCGTCTACTTAAGAACGTGCTGCTGCTATTAGCAAAGCTATAAAGGAAGTACGAAAATGCCACGCTGCGAAGCAGGTTAAGGACGCGCTTAAGAAGAGGAATGGCTCAATTACGGAGCATACCTTAGACCTCCTTATTAGCTCACGGGTGCTCGTGTAGCGAGAAAACCAAAAGTAGAAGGGCCCTTTTCAGTTGCTTAGCAAGCAAGGGCATACGTGCATAATAGCTTGTCCGAGGCTTACGGAATTCAAGTCAACTTTAGTAAAACTTTATTACTTTAAAGTTGAAAAGCTGCTAAAAGAGTTGCAGGTACTTAAAGTAAAAGCGGAAGAAGAGGTGGAAGAAGAGGTGGAAGATGATTAGAGCGAAAGCGAAAAAGAGCTAGAAATACGAAATTCGCTTAAACCTCAACATTCGCTTAATCTACCGAGGTCGCTTAATCCAAGAAGCTCGCCAAGACTAACAAATAGCTCCTTTAACCCTTAACTTACTAATCCTTAGAAGTCAATAATACTAATAGTCCAGATACCTTATTAAAAGTACGATCTTAGTATCCCGACCGTGCTCGACGAAAAGGAGGGCGACTCTTACGTTTTATTTATTAAGGACTTCGAAGTGTTAGTTACCGATAAGGAACGCCGGGACTATGAGCTCTTAGCTAAGCTACGAGCCGAAAGAATTATTAAAAGCCTTAAAGCACTATTTTAAAAGTCCAAAGCAAAGGAATTAGTTAGATTGATAGCTTAAAGCATCTTTTAAGTGATCTCGAGCACCGACTTACGCGTTAAAGGCGTTAAGATTTTCGGATTTAAGTTTGTTGATAAGATTAAAAGCAAAGGAACACTTACGTTATACGAGAAGTCTCGTATAATGGTCCAAGCCTTTTAAAACAAGGGCAAAACGAGGGTACTTACCGAGTCATTTACGGTGCAGCGAGCGGGCTAAAAACTCTGTTGTGCTTTAGCTCCTTTTTTAATAAAGGACTACGGGTGTCAGGTTTATAGCAAGGATATCACTTAAGCTTATACTTAGTCAAGTACGAAGCTCATCCGAATAATCGTCGTGCGATTACTTAAGGAGATCATTTATCGATTCCTTTTCGGCATTTTGTTTTTTATAACTGGCTTTTTATACAGTATCCTCGAAGCAAAGACGCACTAGTATAAGCGTTTTTCCGAGCATTTTATAAACAACTTCGGTATGCAGCAATCGAGCTTTAATTCTTGCCTCTTTGTATTAACTAATAAAGATCAGCTAAGAATAGCTGCTTTATAGACGGACGATGTTCTCATGGTTATTAATCGAGCTATAAGGGCAAAAGAAAAGAAGGAGCTGGTGAAATCCAAGCTAAGGAGCAAGGAAATAGAGATCTTTATATACGCTGAACCGATGATTTTCAATAAGTACAAGCTATCTTTGGATAAAGACGGGTTCGGAGTGTTAATTGGTTAAAAAGGGCAGGGTAAGAGGCTTGCAGTAATCAAGCTCGATTTAGCTATACGGGCTAAAGAGTACTTGGAGCAACGTGCTCGAAAGGCGTATTTGGCTACCATTTGCTACTTAGAAGCATCTTGTGCTTTATCGATAGCTGCCTAATACCAAGAACCGAAGGACGGGGACTACAAGGCCCTTAATAAGGTGATCTAGTAGCTGATCGATCACTTAATACGAAAGATTTATTACGTGCCTTTAGACTTAACAACTGCGAAGCTCTTTGTGTTCGTAAATAAAGCGTTTGCTAATAACGCTGATCTTAACTCTTAGATCGGTTTCGTAGCTATCTTTAGCAATGAAGCTCACGTAAATAAGAACGAGTTCATTTTGACGGGTAACATCTTTTATTAAGTGTTATAGAAGTGCAAAAGGGTAATAAGAGCAGTATTAGCCTTTAAGCTATACGCTATGTCCTTAAGTATCGATATAGCTATTGCTATATCGACTACCTTTGCTTAGATTATAGCTTAGTTAAAGATACTTAATTTCTTCGTAGTTATGTGCATTGATTCTTATTCGCTTTACGAGTGCATGGTAAAGCTAAGAACTATTAAAGAGAAGCGCTTTATAATCGATATTATAGCTATTCGGAAGTCATACGAGAGGCGGGAGCTCTCTAAGGTACGCTAGATCGGAAGAAAATTCAACTTTGCTAACGCCATGATTAAAGTCGGGGCTAATACCTCTTTGC